TCTCTGTAGTCCAGTAAGCCAGATTTCCAAAAATCCCGAGAATCTGTGTCTCCCATTATCTTCAATTAGAGTGAAGCACTTTCGAAAATAAAACATTGGATGCAAATAGGTAAAAATTAGTGTTGCCACCCATCCTTCTGGCGCCAGGGTCATAATTACCCTTATGAAATGACTGATACCCAGGCAGGATGCCCAAGGGGCAATCAGCTAAAGTTTTTGTTAAGCTAATCATAGCACTTGGGATAGATTGTCAGCATTTTTAAAATTTTTCAATATTTCTTTCTCCATTAAGTTCCACAAAGATGTCTGCAAACCTTTTATGACTTTGGGACATGCAGATTGAGACATTTTCATGCATATTTAATATTACTTACAATTTGGGGGGAGATATTTCTTTGTTTCTATTTTTTAATAACTCATTTGGAGTGCCATTTAATCTTTCAAACACCTATATTTTTATAAAATCTTTTATTTATTCAATTTATTTTATTATTTTACTACTTGTATAAAAACCTCTCAACTGATAGTATGTGCAAAACATCTGCTGTCTAGCTGTAGTGTTGTAAAGTAACTGTAGACAGTGTGCTTTAATATGGAAAGAATATTACAGTGCAAAATCAATTTTTCAAGTAGAGATACTAATATCATCCCTCAGCATCAGGTATTTATAAAGCAAGAAAGTACTATATAAAAGCTGCGAAACTTGTGGCACAGCTTTATAAATCAAGGCACTATAAGAAGTTTCCACCTGCAAGCTAGGGAAGTGGTGTACTTTTAAGGATAATTTTATGGATGTATGTGTCAATCTCAGTGTTGCTGAATTTTGAACAAACTCCTGAATTAATTTTTTAAAACCATTATCTCTGTCTTTCACCATTATCTCCTCTTTCATGTAATCTTGACCTCAGCCCATGATGGGAACTCAATTATCTGGTTTTTCCTTTGTGTTCCTTTCTCCATCCTGCAGTCATTGAGCTGGGAGAAGTTAACCTGAACTGTCCTTCAAACTGCCAAATTCATAATACCCATTTCTTTGGAACTGACAGACAGATAATAAGGAGAGGGCAAGCTTTCAACTTTTATGCTTACTTTCAAAATCGGGAATGGGATGACGCCGTGGACAAGGCCATTTTCACTGTGGAAACAGGTAGTTACTCCCAAACTCTGTGTAGTCTTTCCCAGTCCTTTTCTGGTATGTAATATTCCCAGTAGTCTTCAGTGACAAATAGTATCTGCTCACACACCTTCTGTGCAAAGAGACTACCTTCCCCTAACTCAGGCAATTCTGCTGACTTTTAAAGTTTTCTCACTCTGCTGCAGAAGTGACAAGTGAAAAAGAAATCCACCCTTTGCTTTGCATTGCAAATGATGCCTAAACAAATTACTTGCTTTTTACATGTGCTTTGTTTAGTCTGATGGAAGTTGTATTTATTTTCCTGAAAAGGCCTCAGACCCTGTGAATCAAATGAGACAAAATGTAGCTTCCCAATGGGCAGATGTCTAGATCAAACCTGCTGGAGTGCTTCCTACAAAATTCATCAGCCAAAATGCATCAATATCAGCGTGTTTCCTCCTTCCAACGCCTGCATTGGCCGTTACATTCTCAATATGCAAATCACATCTTGTGGTCATACATATCAGCGATGTCTTGGAGATTTTTATGTCCTTTTTAACCCTTGGTGTGCAGGTAAGGACTCTGGTGATGATCAGATAGTTTTAAGAAAAATTCTAGTGATGAGTAAAAATGTTGAGCATATGTATTACTTAGCTCATAAGTAAGGAATGGAGTCAGAAACAGGAAGGGATTTTGTTTTGTTATTTGTTTGTTTGTTTTTTTTTCTCCAACTTCAATGCTGTCTCAAGCCAGTGTTTTGATTTGGTTTCTTCATGGAGTAGAGATGTAGTATATTTCCCCCCTTCCCCCACCTCCCCTTTTACAGTGGCTTGACAGGACAAGAAGCAATGGGCACAAACTGAAATATAGGAAGTTGCCTCTGAACAGCAGGAAACACTTTTTTAAGGTGACTGAGCATTGGCACAGCTTGCCTAGAGAGGCTGTGGAGTCTCCATCCTTGGAGATGCTCTATAGCCATGTGGATGTAATCTTGGGCAACCAGCTCTGGGTGAACCTGCTTGAGTGTGAGGCTGGACCAGGTGACCTCCAGAAGTCTACACATTCTGTAATTCTGTGAATTCTGTGCTATCATTATTAAATAATGTAGTATTCAAATACAAAATAAACTCTGTAGATCTGGTTCTGATAGCAAGCAGATCTGGAGTCTGTAGGACCTTGCCAAAATCATTACATGTGTACATTGTCCATGCTTTTCATTTGATAAAAATCAGATATCGAACTGTAGGTGCCCAGTGTTTGACTCTTTCACACAGCTTAGTGTGAAGATAAATTGTAAGCTCTGTAATTCAGCATACTACAGCAAAGAGAGACCTAATAAAGGTAATACCTAGCTGTAAGTAGAAATTAATTGTCTCTGAATTTTTAAAGAGCCTGCACCCTTGAACATGTTTAAAATATAAATCAAAAATAGGTAGGAAAAGAAAGAGGGATCCAGTGAAGCAGAAGATACAAAAGTGCTAGAAATGCACATTTTTCTGGCTGATAGCTCTGTGTCTTTTCCAGATGACCCTGTATATATGGACAATCAGGCCCATAGAGAAGAATATGTTCTGAATGAACATGGGATACTGTATGAAGGAGTTCACAAGCATATTACCTCTAGACCATGGCACTTTGGACAGGTACTTTTTAAAGACTTCTTCAGAAGTAGATGTCATCCATATATGGATAATTAAAGTGTTACCCATACTTCTTCAGAAATGCATGGTTATATTATGGAGTGTGAAAAGTCCTAAGGACCAGCCCAGGTCCAATACAAATACAAAACGTTTGAGAATTTCACTGGAGACCGAACAACTGGAAGGAAGTTTTCTGTAGTAAAATTAAGGAAACTGCAGAACCTTTGGTGCCTGTTTTAACTTCTCTTTCCTCAGTTTGAAGATGGGATTCTGGATATCTGCTTGAAGATCCTAGACATGGGTGCAAGTTATCATCACGGCTCTGATCGCGACCATTGTTGGCGCAATGACCCTGTACATGTCAGCATGGTTGTAAACCACATGGTAAGACCTCTAGTAGTGTGTGACCTCTGAATAGGTCAGAAAACACTCCATTATATTATAGAAGGACAGGTTGAACTGTAATCTAACATACTATGAATAACAGAGAAAATCCTTTCTGTGCTCAGATTCACAGAAAAAGCTAACTTGTGACAGTAATATCTGATGATTTTGTGATATGCTTAGGATTGAAGACATGGTCAGCTGTTTGAAAAGGTGTTTTTTCTTTTCTCTTTCTAGATAAGCAGCCATATCACTAGCAGTGTAATGAAGATTCCAGAAAACAATGATTATCTGAAAGGAACAAAACCATTTTCCTGGAATGGAAGTGTCCCCATTCTTCAGCAGTGGTACAATGGCAGATGCAGGCCAGTCAGATATGGGTACTGTGGGTCTCTTGCTTCAGTAATGTGCACAGGTATGATATTTCAGTCTACCCTTACCCAGCTATCCAAACAGGAAGCGAGAAAACCAGGATCACAAACCTCTGACCCTAAAAACTAGTGGAAAGATATTAAGCATTTTACTAAAACAAAAATAAAATTTAAAAAAAGTATTTTTCTCTTGCTGTAATATGGTATGGCTCCTAACATAGTGTTTGTTATCAACCTATTGCTTTCCTGTGCAGCATGAAGAGCAAGAAGAAAAGCAATACTGTCTTTCTGTGACCTTTATACCATGCAGCTACCAAAACTACAGCTTTATTAAAACACAGAGCAATTGCAGCATTGTGGAGCCAAAATATCGTTTGGGTGAAGTTTGAAGGCTGAGAAAAAATACTAAGATATAAACAGGAAAACCTCTAGCAGTGTCCCTTCCAAAACATGAAAGCAGCAGCCTACTATCTTATTTTACTGCAAAGAATAAGATAATAGTTAACTAAGCTCTACAGACAAAAAAATAAAGTTCAGACTTTATACCATTTCTTTACTGAACCTACTTTACACTAATGGAAATTGAATTGATATTGTGAAGATGAATCTATATGTACTACACTGTTTACAACAAAATTACTGTGTTTTATTAATGCAGGATCAGGTTCATGATTCTGGTTTGGGGATTTGGGTTTTTTTCTCGTATAAGCTGGAAGAATAACAAGCCATTTCTCTGTGCTAGGCTCTTTTCAGACTACTATTCAACCACATAAAAGAAGTTTTGAAGACCAAATCAGTGCATATTGCTTTCTATCCATTGTATTTATAGAATTGCAAAGTAGAATATACGAGAATTATTTATAAAATAAGTGAAGGATTTGCTTGATTAATTACTATTTGTAATGACTCATTAATAATTTTTTTTCTTTACAGTGATGCGGTGTTTGGGAGTTCCAAGCCGTGTTGTCACAAACTTCTGTTTTCCATGTTCAAATGAGAATCCCCTTGGTATCAATGAAATTTTTGACTGTACTGGAAAAAACCTGTGTGGTAAAGACAAGCTGTGGTAAATAAGAAATACACAAGCTCTTTTGGTTTTGGTTTTGTTTTGGTTTTTAATTAAATGATAGAAAGGCTAGTATAAATCTAGTAGATCAGTGTGTATCTTTCTTTGGTGTGACAAAGCAGTTTAGTTTCCTAAAAACACATTTCCAAACATGTAGTTACCAAAGAGGCAGTCTGCTCAATCTACATTTTCAAAAAAAGAAAAGAAAACCACTTGTGGGAAGTGATGCTACCTACTTATCCTTCTCAGTTAAAACAATAAGGCCATCAATCTTAGTAGCTGTAAAAATATTAAGTAGAATATGAAATGTGAAGGAAAATTTATCACAAATTATTGCCATTATCTTCATTCATAATCACTTTTTGATAATTACGTTGTCTTCCTGAGATTTCTTATCATAGATTGCTTTATTTTTGTAAACCTTTCAATTAATTTTCATACGACCAAGACATTACCACTGATCCCAGCAGAATTTCATGTTTTGACTCTTGGCCTGTGTGTTTGTAGTTTCACTGCACCAGAATTTGTTTTTGTCTCATCTGTGAGGGCTTTTAATGAATTTTTTGCCTTTTCATGTGTCAAAAAGATGAGGTCAAACTGAAATATAAGGGAATGAGGATTTTATTTTAGCACAAATTGCTTGAGGGTTTATTCTTTGTTAAGCCCTTAAAAAAGAAGACTAAGACAGTATGTGATTTTTCCTGTAGAGAACCAGGAGGAAAATATTAGGAAAATTACTTAAAAGAAAGAACTGTTCTGGCACACTATCAACTAAAAAAAAAAGGCTGTAAGAAGAGTGTTTTGCAATCAGGTCTGCAGGACAAATTTCCAGTCTGAGTGATATAAAGTAAACCTAACAAATCCTGTCCCCAAACACTGTTAACAGTTTTAAGACATAGAGAGACTTCAGTTGATTAAAATGTTCTCTCTGACGTGGTTTTCCTCCACTGTAAGGCATTGAACTTGGTGATCCAAGAGATGTCTTTAATCCTATATACCTGCATCCTACAGGCGATACCACTGCTGGAATGAATCTTGGATGGCTCGCAGAGACCTAAAACAGTGCTGTGGTGATTGGCAGTGTCTGGATCCAACACCTTTGGAAACAGGCAGAGGTAACTGTTTACTATAACTGTAATTGTTTTCTTCTTATGTTGTTGAGTTTTTCTACTACTCAGGTTACAACCTACTATAACATTGTTGTTATCTGGCTTAGGTACAGCTTGCAGTGGTCCTACTTGGGTTCGAAGCATCAGAGAAGGGGAACTGGACTTGGACTATGATGGTCATCATATATTTTCTCGAGTAAATTCGAACTATGTTGGCTGGCTTTCACAAAACAGTGCCAAAAAAACTAAATTTTTCTGCGATCCTTGGCCATGTGGACAACATCTAATCACCAAGCGTGCTGGCAGTGAGCAATTCGAAGATATCACTGGGGCTTACAAGTATGAACTAGGTATGATGAAAATGAGTTAGAGGAAATTCTCAATGCTAATCATATAAAATTATTAGTATAATCCATCCTTTGCTAAAATGAATAGAACCATCTGAAATTGTATTTTTTGAGAAAGATGAAGATGCCTTTCTGTTCAAAGATCTTGATTCTTAAACTTCTAAACACATTTAGATGATTCAAACAAAACAGATAGCAATTACATTCATTTAGGTTAGGATTGTTCAGTTGGAAGGGACCTACAGTGATCCTCTAGTGTAACTGCCTGTAGCACCCTTCTGCCTCACAGATGTATTTAACTGAAAGTTAAATCATATTATTAAAGGCATTGTTCAAATGTCTCTTTCTAAGGCATTGACAGGCTTGGGATATCAACCACCTCTCTTGGAAGCCTGTTCTAGTGTTTGACCACCCTCTTGGTAAAGAAATGCTTCTTCATGTCAAGTCTAAATATAAAGAGCCTGACGCAGCTTTGACCCATTCCCTCACATCCTGTCAGTAGATCCTCGGGCAAAGAGCTCACCACCTCTCTCCACTTCTCCTCCTTGGGAAGCTGTAGAGAGCAATGAGGTTGCCCCTCAGCCTCCTTTTCTCCAAATTAGACAAGCCCAGAATCCTTAGCCACTCCTCACAGGACATGCCTTCCAGCCCTTTTAATACCACTCTTTGAATGTACAAGTTTTGGTCTCACCTGTACACTGGTTTAAAATATTAGCAGACTTTAGATAATCTAAAAAAAACCCTAAATTATTTTAAACTCAGGATTAACTTCTTTCTTGTTACTTTGTGTACCAGATCTGTCAGAAAATATGTCTACTTACTAAATTCATGTATTATTAGGATATTCTGCTGTTCTTACATTGGGCTGCTGATTACTGGTTTTCATCATCCAGTAGTAGGGAGGAGTTCAACCAGCAAAATTGCCTAAAGGAATAAAGAGTGGATCACAGTTGATTGTAAAATTACAATTTTTCTGTAAATACTTTACATGTAAATTTTTGTAAAATACTGTGCTTCTCC